AGACTATAAGAAATCTAGATAAATAATTATGACCCTTATACCTGAATATAGTTTTTCTAGGTGAACTCTGAAACTGAAAGGTTTAAAAGACTTAAGTTTAAAAAATCTGTTTTTCATTAGATTTGTAAGATATGGTCCCTGGGGGCTAGCATCGCTGCTATGCCACCACATTCATTTCATTAAATTAATGTAGAGCTTATAGAGTCATTAGAGTATGATTAGAGTATTTTTGAGTCCATTGTAATTGCACTGGTTATCATTGGTATTTTATTCAATTCATTGATCTATTTTTCTTGATTTTAGATCTACATATTCATTTAATCCATGGGCATATGACTGATCAGATATGTCCATATGATATTGACATTGAATCATATAATTTATATCATATTAGATAGATCTGTTAAGAAATATTAGATCTAGTCTAGATAACTAGATAACATAATAAAATATCTAGAACCTAGACATTAGAGAATCTCTAGATTCTCAAAACATACCATTCTCTGAATTAACTAACCACCATCACTAACGACTCCAATAATGGCAATATCCAAGCTATTTTGTTTGTAGTGTAGATCTACAGTACACGACTACTTCATTCTCAACTGAACACAGAACAGGACAACAGTAACAGGTCACAACATCAATGATTCATTTCAATAATTTTGTCATTAGCATTAGCTAGTGACATTAGATCTAGTTATAAGTTGATTCCGCAAAGACTATTAAATAAATTAGTTTTTCTTACCAAACAATGCAGCAATAATCACAAATTTATTCATTTTAAAGTTTGATCTTCTTAAATGTCCAATCTAATTATCACATGATAAACAACACAACCGGATATCCGTTCTAGGAAGTAGTTATTTGATTTTTTATTTGTGAAGATTGTTAAGAGCACTCATGTCTTACGGTGTACATCTAGGTCTACGCTACGCCTAAACTTATTCCACCCTTATTTTACACCCCTCGCAACAATAAAAAAAAAGTGTAGATTGTGATTTTATAACATAATAGAAGCAATATAAAATATAATGCAGATAAAAAGTGCTATACGAGACGAACCATCGTTCATAGTGATTATAGATCTATATAGTCGTTCCAAACGAAAGCAAAAGAAACTGTTTGTGAAATCCGATTAATTAAGTAGATGCCCAACGTAGATCGGCCAGCGAGTCATTTAATTTCTAACACTAATGTTGTGGGCCACATCCACGTAAAAAGCCTCGGGACCCTACAAATTAAGTGGAAAACTTGTAAAGCTACGTGCGGAACAACTGGCGTATATCTTTTGTGCTATATTCAACAAGTCCCGAAGACGCACAAAATACCTTCCAGTTGGAAGACGTATGAAATAATTCCAGTACCAAAAAGAAGATCATTGCTTCCAACAACGGCCTACGTCCCGTAGCACTGACATCAATTCCAATGAAGTGCCTGGATAAAGTGATTTTAAAACATCTTATCTTATCTTATATAATACAGACGTTACTTCAAAAAAGAAGATGATTACGTCCTACGCGTCATGCATTTAGTCATGCATATTAACCAATGACTTAAATTCTGCCAAGTCACTGGTTTTCCTGGCTAGCTCAGGCAACCCATTCCATGCTATAATAGCACTAGGGAAGAAGGAGTTTTTGTACAAATTTGTTCTAGCATATGGGACGAGGAATGTGCCTTTATCTTTGTGTCTTTCACATCTACTGAAAGAAGCCGAAACACGTCTTGACCCGCACCAGTTCCCTTAAAATCGTCAAGAAGTACAGAAGATGCCATACTATTCAAGCTGAATCGTCTATACTACTCTATACTATCATCTTGATACTCAGAGACAAAACGCCAGAGTATTATTCGTAGATTTTTCATCCGCATTCAACACCATCCGACCACATCGCATCATACAAAACTATCTGATTTGAACGTTAGCAAAAACATACAAGCTTGGATTCTAAACTTTCTTATCAAAAGCCCACAATATATAAAAGTGAACGGGCATGTGCCAGGCACGAGAGAGCTTAAATTAGTACTGGAGTGCCTTATTGAAGGTAACGAAAATCTGTACCATTCAACAATTAAAACTTTTTACCAATGGTGCATAGATAACTTTCTAATTTAAAATGTTCAGAAACTAAAGAAATGATAATAGATTTTAGGAAACACAAAGGTCATCTTGCAGAAATTCAGATAAACAACCATACCGTAGAACAAGTGCAAGAACATAAATACCTAGGCACAACCATCAACAACAAACTGAGATGGAGTGAACACTGTCAAAATCTTTACACCAAAATTCACCAACGACTCTTCTATCTTAGAAAGCTAAGGAAAATTAACATCCACAAAACAATAATTAAACTTTTGTATAAAGCAACCATCAGCAGTCTAATTAACTTTGCTGGTATGGTAATACTTCACTGGCACAAAGACTTAGACTAAATAGACACATTAAAAAAGCATCGTATATCACTCGAACACAGCTACCATCTCTTAAAGAGCTTTTTCATGAAAGATGCCTTTCCAAAACACTCACGATTCTTAATATAACCTACACCCATTAAACCACGGTTACATAAGATCTGAACGAAGTGGTCGTCTCCTTTCCATTAAGACTAAAACAGAAAGATTTAAAAACTCCATCCCACTTTCGGTCAGAGTGTTACAAGATCAGCTGTCGTCATCGAGAAGTATAGAAGTCTAATTCATAAAGCGCTAGTTGTGAGTGTGTATGTGTTTCGTGTGTGAATGTTGTTTGTATTTGCATCTATATTGTTATTGTACAGTAGTTACGCTGAGCTTGTCAATTGTACATTGGATTGGACCAATAAAAAAAATGTTATCTTGTCTTATTACGTGTATAGTTCCATGATTGGATCAATAAAAAGTATCTTATCTTAAAGAGAAAAAAAATGAATTGACAACTTTTCTAATAACTCTTGGAGCAAGTCAGCTGTGATATCCAACCATACATCTCCACTGTTTTTCGAAGTTTTACATTCAGTCTAGTTTTTTTTTTTTTTTTTGGGTTTCTTCTGATTTCTCATGTTATGAACGCACACATTAAATGGTACAGTAGGCCTACCACTTGCATTGATACCAAAGACGATCCAAAATGATGCACTGTGTCACGTACAAGGCTAGCTAAAAAAACCAAACAAAAACTTATGAATATTAGAATAGCAAAGAAGGTAATCTATGGAAGAAAGAGTGAGAGCTCTAACTTAGAGACATACATTTTATTTTTCAACCTTTTTTGTGTAATTTTGGTCCGATGTTTTGATGGGCCGGATAACACCTTGTCGGGGGCGGGATCTGGAAGGCATTTTAGGGAATCACTGAAGTAGACAACAAACATTTATTTAAACACGTCATCAAGGACAAGTTAAGTTCGATGGCACAACGTCTGCCTGGGTCGTGCGGTGTGCGCGCTGGACTGTCGTTCGGTCGTCCCAGGTTAATACCCTGCCCTCAGCCCCCCCCCCCCCCCCCCCGGCGGGTCGTCCTGTTTTTGCGTGGTGGTTTGAGCTGGGATGTTGGTTATTTTCAACTCTGAAGCAACATTAGAAATATTTAGAACATTATTTGTCTTAATTAATCTTATAAATTACAGACGTTATTTTAAAAGAGATTATAATTACGTCCTACGTTTATAATTACGTCCTACGTGTCGACCTAGTCATGTAGCCTCGCTAGCTCTATGTTAATCAGTGACATAAACTCTGCTAAGTCCTGGCTGACTCAGGCAACCAATTCCATTCTCTAATGGCGCTAGGGAAGAAAAAGCACTTTTACAAATTTTGTCTTAAGTACCATAAACAAAAAGTCCTTGTTTTGAATTTTATAACTTATAGGCCCAGCAGCTTCAGGTCTCTGATTTCTACTAGATCTAAAAGTGATTATAATAACTTAAGGCTTGTCTTCGAGTCCGAAGATCAGTGAGGAATGCAGTATTTCCCGTGACTGCGCAGCCCCAACTGTGACCTAAATATTTTGCCACACCCAGGGCAAGCATAACCATTGTCCGCAGGTGGTCGATTTAGATTTTCTTTTCGCCGTCTGTCCTTGGTAGCGGATTTTCTTTTGGTCTCAAAAATGTGTATCCCGAGGCCTTTGTGAGTGACTTCCAGCTGTTTCGTTCTGAGGCCGCATGCAACCAGGTGCTCTCTTCTATGTCAGCTAAGGCAAGTTGGCGCCTAAGCTGGTCTTAGCGTTTCCGTGGGGCGAATAGTGATAACAGAAAAACAAGAACTGTAAGCTATAGGGTCAGATATCTATGCATTTCCTGATTTGTGTCCGCTTGTTGCTCTTCAGTCAATGAAATTTGTATTAAGTCCTTTCTAAGATGCTGTCAGAATATTAGCACAGAAGATGAGACTGAATGTCTAGGTTTAGTCATGACAGAGTTTAAACGGGGAACAGTATGCACAGTATGTGGTCAAATGTTTTGAATGTTCTGTAGGAAAAAAAAAAGGAAGTTTTGTGAGTAGTTAGGTTTTTCGAAGTGAAAGATGATGGGTACTTCTGCATTCTTCCATGTGATAAGTTTTTTTCGGTTCTTTTTCAGTATCGTTATAGGTTGACTAGCAATTCATTATTAATTTGAATATTTTATACGTTATTTGGTGTTTTATAGAGGCGCGGTGGCTGAGCAGTAAAGTGCTTTGTTTTTGAACCGGAGGTCCCGGGTTCCAATCCTGGTGAAGACTGGGATTTTATTTCGGGATCCTTGGGCACCTCTGAGTCTAATGGGTACCTGACATCAGTTGGGGAAAAGTAAAGGCGGTGGTTGTTGTGCTGGCCACATGACACCCTCGTTAACCGTAGGCCACAGAAACAGATGATCTTTACATCCTCTGCCCTATAGACCACAAGGTCTGAAAGGGAAACCTTTGGTCTTTTATAGATCTACCTCATTGTACTTAATAGTCTATATTAATTGAAACCTAAATATGCTGTTGAGCTCTGTAAATACTGAAACGACCCAAGAGCTTAACAATATTTATTTATTTAAAAAAATACACAAAAACACCTAGTTAAAAAAAAAAAACAAGCATAGAATATTTATTATTTGCGAACAAAGTATATAAATGATAACAAGTATGGAACACATAAGTGAAGTAAAGTTCTAGTGAAGGGACAGCACAAACTTTGGCTTAGAAAAATGAGTTCCCAATCAACAGATCCAATGACTTTGTACATCAAGTAGATGGTTTTAACATATAGAATTTCACAGTAGTCCTGATAAAATGTTAATAGATATGAGATAACACATTTCAACAACAAATGGTATTTATTCTGGACATTTTCATCACACACAGGCTACTACACAGTATCCTTGACCTCAGAACAAAGGTGTGTTCAGTTATTAGTCCAGTTAAAAAGTTGTAATTAGCTAGTGCACAAAACAATTCAGAATATAACAGTCGATTCATCATTATCTATTTGTTGTTTCCTCTTTATCTTACTTAAGATTAGTATAAAAACCAGAGGTAGGTGGGTATATACCTGGTACATCTGAAAAAACCTGCAGAATTGGGCCGATGATTCTGATCCATATCTGAATGTTATTATTTTTAGGAGAACAGGCACTCTTAATTTTATATTCCATCTTTCTTATGGTTTTAAGGTTTCAAGAATAAACCTTGTGGGAAAGTCAAGAAAATACAAAGAACATGCAACCGTTCGGCAGGGTTACCTATATGTATGTTTCCTGAATTTTCGATACAGTCATTCACCCCTGCAGCAGTCAATCTTTGTTATTTCTGAGTCTGTGAAAATCAAGAGCATCTTAGCAGTTTGTGATTACTATGGTTTTCCTTTTCGAGGCTCCTGCATCCGAGTTGATGCCAAATGTAATATATAGTATTGCTTTTTAGATTCAACTCTCGGGAACTGAAGAAATGTGTCTCAGAAAGGAAACTTTCAAGGGCTATTTATTGTCTCCCCAGATAGAAACAACTGTCTTAGAAGTGAAATACACAACTAAATATTGACAGAAATTAACATTTTTAATTCATGGCTACTGAAGTAGCATAAGAGCATTGAGACCAAAAACATATTTGCTAAGCGCATAATCAAGTTCAAAGTCAGGCCAATTCAGGAAAAGGCAGGTAAATATATGAAGAGAACGTACTTGGACACATCTTTGTTTATGTCAGGCATTCATTCAGAAATATATATTGAGTTCTAGCCCAAACTTGCTGCAAATGCAGTGTTGGAACACAGAACCATCAGGTGACAGGTAATGTGACGGGGGGGGGGGGGGGGGGGGGTAACAAACATATTAAATCACAGTGTCAACAATTCCCTATTGCGAACATGCTAATGATATTAAGAATTATAACTAGCTGTACACCTAAGCATGCACCATCTGTTGACAAAGGTGGTTTATTTTTCCACTAAGCCTATGGTCAACTTCATTAATGCAGATTGGAGGACTGTTAGCCATAAATAAAATAAAGCAAAAAAAATGTGATTTAATATAATCCCGTCCCATGAAAATAAAAATTTCATTGTTTCATTTAAATAAATGAATTTCTAAATGCTAAAAGGAATAATATTAACAATAACCTTGAGGAAATTAGATTTGTTTTACAATGTGCAAGATAAATAACAATACATAATTAAAGCAACCAATTTGTAAAACAGCACACAAAATATACATTCATATTCCAGTTTCCCTTTAACATTACATGCAAAATTTACAACAGTAAATGTTGGTGTCACTCATTTCTTGACATATGTAAATAAACTAAACATTTCTCATTCCTGTTTACATTTTTTATAAAGGGAGATGTTTTCTTTTATTCATGCCTCCCTCAACCGATTGCAAACATCAAATTGTTTCCTTCCGTTATTTTATGATTTCATTATATTATTATTTTGCCGTGAAACGAAAACAGTACCCTCTTCGTATCTTACAGATTACAGACGTTACTTCAAAACAGAAGAAAATTACATACTATCCATTTCATGTGTCAATCTAATCATGCATGTTAATCAGTAACTTACGTAGCTACGTAGCTATTTTCCTGGTTGATTCAGTAGCTCGGATAAAAGAAATAAATTATCTTCCGAAAAAAACAACCAAACAACAATTAAAAAAAAAACAAAAGTGGTTTATGGATGTTTCATAACAAAAACAATTTAACATTACTAAAATAACATACTTCCCAACATGTGGGATGTGGCTGAGAGGCAAATCCTTGACTATTTATCAAGGGGGCTCAAGTTCAAATCCTGAATCAAGCTGAGCATTGTTTGCTGAGCACTTAAAGGCAAATGTTCCAGATACCCTCTCCCCCTTACATGCCCGCAAAAGAAATTGGACTATGGGGCAGTAAACACACTGCAGCATGAAAAATGTGTTATACAAAAGTAATTTAAAAACAACAATAGTTCAACTCCTACTTCTATAAAGAAAAATTAATATGTTAAATTATTCTGTCTGGAATATGCTATATCAAGGTAGCAAATAAATCAAATTCTTCATCTTCATATATAATACAGACGTTTCTTCAAAAATTTAAATGATTTCCACTTCCAATCAAAAGCTTTTATAGTTGTATGTACCGACTTTTGCCTTCAACCTATTCTTCTCTCCAAATGGAGTAAAACATCTAATTTGACAATGAGTAAAAAAAAAATTCCAGTTTAACAATACATTTATAACAACCATAAAAACTGCCAACTTTGTCAAAGAAAACCCAATATTGTGATGAAGAAAATGAAAGACATTAAAATGAAACAAATGTAAATCAAATGGACAGTCTAATCAACAACTAGAGAAAAAAAAATCAACAGCCCAAAAAAACAACAACTTTAAACAAATTTTTTTTTCAACAAAAATTAACACAGAAGTTGATCAATTATGCAAACATCAACGTCAATTTTTAATGGTATATAGTAAGATATATATAGAGATTTTTGATGCAATACAATTTTAAATCTTCTTTGAATAGAGCAAAGTTTGATTAAAGACTAATCATTATCTAAATCTTTCATGAAATAATGAATATTCAAAAGCTGCTTACGCAAAAGTTTACATCGCAATATTAAAGTAAAACAAAAATCAAAGAGTTTTTACTAGCTTTAAACCACATCAACAGCTATTTCATCAGCTAAATAACATTGCCTCTGATTATGATAGGAAAAAAAAATAAATCCTATGCTGATAGTAACCAATTAGTTTTATTATGAAGTTGCCATCAACACCTGCTGCACTGACACTGGAGATTATCCTACATATTCTGTAATAAAAAGTTGGTTGCTAGGGTGGGGTTGTTATTGGCTGACCTTAAAGCTTGACGTGCACGTTCATCGCTGAATCCCATTTCAACAAATCGACGAACCTTAAAAGAAAAGTTTAGTTACAAATCATTATGATTTATAAGAAACATCCAGAGCAAGTGTCAGAGGAAGGGGAGGAAAGAAAAAATGGGATATCTGGGTGGATTGCACCATAATTGGTTTTCTAATGCATTCACAAAAAAAAAAAAAAAGAGAGAGATGATCTGAACTTGCACTTGTGGCCGACGCCTCCTCAGGCCGTCGTGCTAACCACTCTGCTAGAGAGTGCTCATGACTAGAGAAGATTGTATAGTTATGGGTTTCAATTTAGAGTGTGCACCTATAAAGGGGACTAATTCAGCTTATACCACCGCTTCAGTCAAGTACAACTTCTTTCCCTTGTTCAAGATACCAAACAAAATAATTAATTACCAATAGTTCATTAACTAATTGGTTTATTTTTTAAATTTATTCTTGTGCTGTGAGGTAAAAGCAAAATTCCAGCTTGATCCGAGATTGGCTGTGGGAGAAATGTCATTTACAAACAAAGTGAGTTGATATAAGCTTTGTAATAAACAAAGTTTCTCTTCAAAAGATAAATTATTACATAAATAAATTAATTTACAATTTTTTTTTAAGATAAATAAATAAAAGATAAATTTTAAAATTAATTTGAATTATTGTGGTAGCCTTTTGCTAAAATTATTAAAAGAAGGTTTAAAAAAAAAAATTCTTTTAGGATTGTACATGAGCCGCCACCACCAGTTCTAATTACTATTCATAAAGTCTGTGACTTCTGTCATCTTGGGTGACTAAAGTGGCATTATCATTTGGTACTAAATCAATCGATTTATCAACTGACCTGTTCTTCTGAAACATTATTATCACCAATGTTATGTGAAGCACCTAGAAAGAAACATACAAAATTACACATCTCTATTTATAAATACAAAAGTTTTTAAACATATTTGTCAGCAGGGCTTATTTGAAACACAAGGATTATAAAGTAAAGTGAAGTATAGCTCCCCTTTTAGACTTTGCAATCTATAGGGCAGATGATGTAAATATCATCTGATTCTGTGGCACATGGTTAATGAGGGTGTCATTTGGCCAGCACTAGGATCAGCCACCTTTACTTTTCCCCAAACTAATGTCAGGTGCCCATAAGAGCTGGGTGGACTCAGAGGCCTCTTCAAGATCCCGAAATTAAACATTTTAGTCATCAGGATTCCAACCCAGGACCTCGGTTCAGAAGCCAAGCACTTTATCACCCAGCCACAGCGACTCCCTTATTAAAATAGTGACAACATTATTTGTTTCATTGAAACTCAGTTTTATTGTTTATGTTTTCATGTGCTGAGAGTTGCATGAACCCTCAGTGTGAGATATTGTGAAGGATATGGCATGACTTTGCGTAAGTTTTGTTTCACTTACTGTGGTTCTTGCCTGTAGTTTTAATGTCCAAAAAAAAAAGTCGGAATGAATGTGGCTTCTGTTTTTACTTTAGCCCCCTTGATTCCTACATAAGTTTGTTAGTTTGCTGGAAGTCACATGCATCCTTCAATAAGTTGAAAATATATATACTTTCAAACCTTTTGGTGAACCACACTAGACCAACTTAAGATTAATCAAATTTAACAATAACATTATGCAGGTCAACTCTACCATATTTAACACTTAAAAACAACAACAACAAAAAAAAAGATTTAATCTATAACAAATAACAAACAGTAACGAACTACTTTTTGATACGTTTAGTCCATAACAGTAATTTGAAATATTTAAAGAAGCATTTCTACACAGTTTTATCCTGTTTAATTATCTCTATATGTATTTTAACTCTCAGATCTACTCACATGCTAATGTCCAGCCTGTTTCAAATAAGAGTGACTGAGGCAATGTATGCTTATTTACCTTCAATTTTGATATAAATTATCAAATATAAATAAATATATATCTTTTCCTTGTAGGTTTTAGGAATGTTATCCAAATAAAGAGTTTTAAAACTAAATTTCAAAGCATCACCAACCTGACTGACTGCGATGTATATGCCTATTCATATTCAAACTGTCAAATAAATTTGACCCTGCAGCCAAATCCTGTTTTAGTTAAAAATCAATATAAAAATTATTAGCTTTTTTAATTACAAACTTAGAAAAAAATTTTTATAGACATATCAAGCAGTTTATATGAAAAACAGGAAATTGACTACCACTGATATGTACTTACTAATGGCTGAGGTCTACCAATCTCTACACGTCTGCTGGCTTGTAAGGCGGATATCATCATCTGGTGTTCCAGTCGATCAATCCTCTCCCTCTGTTGCAGCTCCAGTGTAGCTCCCATAGGCAATGCAAGGGATTTAGACACAGGAGACTCCAGAAATCTACCCAGGCAATAATCAAACTGATTGCCCACAAGTTTTGGAACCTGTAGAAACTTTTGAATCTTGAGGAAATTTACTCTCCATAATATCCCAGAGACCTGACAAATGTAAAAAAAATAATAATTAATACAATCTGTTTGGCCAAATTAAAAAAGAATAATTACAATAAAACAACAACACTCAAACAAAAACACATATTTTTTAAATAAAAAATTCACCTAAAAATGTGTTCAACTAAATTTGTAATAATCTAGGCCCTGAATTTGCAAGCTTAAATGAATAAAAAATTGACAAACTAAATTATGAGCTTATAGTAAACTGTCATTATAATCAATAATCGGTTGTCAGTATAGTTGGGGAAAGAAAAGAAGTTTGTCATTGTCCTGGCCACATGACACTATCGTTAACTGTCAGCCATAGAAACAGATGATCTCTACTTCATCTGCCCCATGGATCACAATGTCTTTAAAGGAACTTTACATAGTTTATGGATTGCTTAAAACTGGTCAATTCTGCACTGCTTGTCCTGTCATTTCTTTTTTGTTAAGGATAAATGTATTGATCTAATATGTCACTGTCTTCTACTCCTCATGTTTT